CCCCGCCCTGCAAGGCAAATATTTTTATGCGTAACTGCGACTGAATGAACAAATTTTCTTAAAACTTTCAGGGTAGCCTAGTTAGGCAAAATAAATTTTTCTGAAACTTGAATAGAAAACAATGATTATATATATTGTCAAAATAAGCTCTTTTGAAACTATTTTGACAATTTTCAACAAAAAAATTGAATGTTTTTGCTTAAAAAACTTGAGATTTATCATTTTCCAGGGGTTTTCTATAATCATGACGCGACCTAAAAAGTGATTTTTCAGCGCTGTGAGCACAAAAATGGCTCAATTGGTCTGAAATTTTGTGGACATAGGTTTTTCTACACGCTGAATCGAACGATGTTCACAGAATTTTTGTATCTTGTTTGGTTCTTTCACAACACTCATTTTGGAGGGGTGTCCTATAACTATGACGTGCACTGTATTACATAATCTTGGTACTGTAGACCTGCGAGCCAAATTCCCATTTCGTGAGTGGCTGCGGTACCAGGTGATGCTTATCTATCTTGGCTGCAAGCAGTATCAGGCACGTGTAGAGCCACAGACAGGCGCTCGAGTGCCGCTCAAGAGTTGCTCACGTGAACAGTACTCTGTCTCGCTTCAAACTAAAGTAGTGCGTTGCAAGTTAATGGGCCGCACCTCTGTTTTAAGGTGTGACTTAAAAATCTTTATCAAGAATGTGAGAACCTAGAAGAATTATCTCAAAGTTATTCTCGGCCTCACGGCCAAACACTTGTTTGTCCCGAAAGCCTTTCTTAGATCTCAATTATTTTTTGTTTCTGGTAAAATTGTCAAAAATTGTGTCAACTGATAAAATATTGGCAAAGTTGTTCTAACCATTTCATCAGTTGACTTGTTTTCAATACATCGCATAAGAACTGAGATGATTTAACTCAAAGTCGGGGCCGGACGGTGGTTTCATGCGGAAGCCGTTTCTGGATCTTAATTATCTTGGTTTCTGTGAGAGCTATCAAAAATGTGTCAGGATCCCTCAATCTCACCAAATTTTAAAATTTCAGGATCTTCGAAATTTCGGGAAACTGAGATTTTGATGAATTGCAAACAAAAATAAATTTTATTCTGTCAAAAAACTTTTTTATTCAACAATAAAATATTCGAAAAAAAAAATTCAAAAAAAAAACAAATAAATTAGGGAAATATGATCGTGTCGGCATTGGGGAAATCGACGGGAGATTTCTGAAAGCTTCAATGAGTTTCATAGAAAATTCAAAACAACTAAATATTTTTGTTCTTAAACCAAACGAGAGAGTTTAGCTGACCTCTTATTCTAGAAAAATGCTAATTTTCTAAATATCAAAAAGTCGAGATAAATTTTTCTGAAACTCCTAAACACCCTGTTTTGATATAGAATGTCTCAAACATAATCGGAGAATTGGAAGAAGTCAATTGTTGCTGTAAAATTCAAATTTAAACATCATAAAAATCAGAATAGTATTCGAATCATGGCTTTGAAACCCCAAACACGTGTTCAAAGTTTTTGAGGCCTCACATCAGCCTCAAAGACATTCTGAAAATCCTAATTTCTACCAAAACCAACTTAAAATCTCACATTTGCTAGGAATCAAATCTTAAGCCTACCTTGCAACATATATCGAGCATGGTTTCCTTTTCCATGTCTTCTTGGTTGCATATTCGATTGAGCAACTCTGCAAAATAGGAATTCAAAAGATTTTTCAATTTCAAGCTCAATCACCTCGGCTCACGAGAGATATTAAAAACTTGTCAACTGATGAAAATATATCATAATAAAAGAAACATTTTTTTTTTCAGTTGACATTTTTTTGTTTTTGAGCTGCGCGGTTAGTCACTCGGAAACTCAAAAATGGACTTTTATGAGTGATGAAGGTCTCAAAAACCCTTGGAAGTTCTGTCCGATGTGACTCTGATGTCTAAAGGGCAAGCCTGAGTTCTTCACATTAAACTCTCAAAACCCACTCACCGCTGAAACAAGAACAGTTGTACTGCACCATCGATACGGTGGAGAATTGACGTCTTCAACCAGCATTCATTCTTTCTCAGCTCGGCCGATGATATCTTGTCGTCTTCGAAGACCCAGGAGTACCAGAAATCTTTGTCCTTCCCATCCATATAGAAGATTCGTTTTCCGTTGAGTGGCTCGTGGACAGTCCAGCATTGACTTCAAGCAGTTCTTGTCCGATTCCGCTTGCTGCTTTTGGATGCAAGCCATGACTAATTGGAAGGTGTTCTTCAGGAAGAAAATAAATTTTCGAAATTCAAATGAAAAATAAGTTAATGTTGACTTCGTTTATTTAATTTCTTATAATAAATATAAAAAATATTAACTGATAAGGTATCATTGATAATATTGGTTAGTTTACTACTTTTCGATATCTCTTACAGGAGCATAAATTGACTCAAGTTAACTACCAAAAGTTATAATTTAAGCGAATTTCGACACAAATTTCTAAAAATGAGAATCAGCAAAATCGAGCTATGTTTACGAAAGCTAAAAAATGCAACATCGCTTCAAATTTTGAATCCTAGAAAATCACTCACTTGTCCAAAACAATTCCCATTTGCAATCAGTGTTCCCGCAGAATTTTTTTCTTTCCTCCATGCACTTCTTTACATTCCGGTCCATTGTCGAGCGCTTTGATTGAATGCTGCGGTTGGATGGAAGTTATTGAAATCTTTTTTGTATCCCTTGAGCTCGCTCTTGGACGTCTTCGGAACTGTTGAAAGCGCAAAGTTTCGAAACTCCGAATCAACAGCCGGAGACTTGACGGTAGATGATAAATTACTGAAAAACAGAAGTCTCGATTTTTCATGATACCTTTTAAAAAAACTGAAATAATTTAGCTCAAAGTGTGAGAGTTTTTGCAAACTAGTGAAATCTATGAAAGTTTATTTCAAAATCAGAAAACTTGGATTTTTTTATTTTGCTACAGTTCTCTTGGAAAGATTTTTTACCATGAAGATCATTGAGAAAAAACTTACAAATTCAACAAAAATCAAATTGAAGGTCCATACACACTGGTCCTGAAAAAGTTAATTATATTTTGAGTCAGTTCTTGGGATGTGCTCTACTTCATGAATAATTCAACAATGTATGAAGTTTTAAACTGTATATTGTGTCATAATTATAATGATTATGTCTTGCTAATCAGTGAGGAAAATTGTCTGGATGACTCACCATTGAATAAAAATGATTAGAAGAAGAAACAATTCAGAAAAATAAAAATAATCAAGGCCCATACACACTGCGCCAAACTGAAAAGAAGTTTTGTTGATTGCTTAAAAAACATTTTTGAACTTACATGATTATATGATTGGTTTAATAACCCAAGTTGATAAAATTCCACTCCTGAAAATGAAACTATTTTAATTCCAAAAAGTTACAAAAGTATTAGAAAAATCTAGAAAGGAAAATCTTGCAGAACAGAAAATGAGAAACCATTTAATCTTTACAAGGGAACTTCAACACGTAAACCCAGGTTTTCATGAAAATTTCGGGATATGTTGAGAACATACTATTCAGACACCTCTAAAAGTTTTAAAATCCGCTCGCCAGTTTCAGCAGTGAAAATTGCGTTTTCAGTGCAAAAAATCGATTTTCAAAAACAATTTTCTCAACCTCTAGGACGTCTTGGAAAAAGAAATGTTGTGTTATATTCAGAATTCAATAAACATTAAAATTCCAGACAATATTTCAAAAAGTGTTTGTCGAATTCTCGAATTTTTGTTACCACTTGGATTTTCAAGCATTTAGTAAACAAAAAATTTTTAAAATATGATGTTGAATCGATTCTGATTTCAACACAACAACTTTCATAATTTCAAACGTCCTAGAAATTGAGAAATCCGTCTTTAAGAGTTACTGTTATTGCACTAAAAACGCAGTTTTCGGTATTAAAACTAATCCTACTTGGCTGAAACTCGCGAGCATATTGTAAAATTCACAGAACTGTCTAGATAGCAATCTTAAGCTATCCTGAAATTACATAAAAATCTGGATTAACAATTTTCAAAGAGCCGAATGCTTGTGCTCTTCGTTTCCATTTTTCATAGCGAGATTGGAATCACGAAAAAAAGAAAACGAGAAAAAGAAGCCGAGATCTGCTCAAAAGAAACGCGTGTTTTTTGGTTAGATGAAAAAAAGTCCACCAAGAGAGAAAAAGAAGAAGGGAAAGGAGAAAAATAAACTGCTCGCGCTCTCCGTGTTTCTGGTCAGGCAGTTGCTCGTCGCACGTCCTTGGTTCCTCCTCACTGCTACGCGGCTTTCTCTTCCGTTCGAGCCTCCTCCCCTCCCTTCCCTTCACCAAGAGGCCAGGGAAGGCGTGGGGAGCCCATATAAACATACGGATAGGCTTCTACATCAGAAAAAGAGATACGTGTGAATGTGGAGCGGTGCTTGCCAAGTGTGATGAAGTGGAAGACGAGAGAGAGAGAGAGAGGGAAGAAAGCGAAGAGGCGGTCAGCTTTAAAGAGGCCAAAGGAGAGTAAAGAGGCGGCTTCTGCTGTGAAGAAGATGGAGAAGGCCTTCTCCGGTGGAGAAGAAGGAGTGTTAGCTTTTCCGGCGGAGAAGAGGGAGACATGTTATGAAATATGTTATGGAGGGCAATACCTGCTGAAAAGAACAACGGTTTTTTTTATTCAGACGGGAAAAGAGCATCGAGAAAGAAAAAAGGAGGATGAAAATGAAAAAAGTGAGAGGAGCAACATGAAAGAAAATGAAAAAGTGATCAAGTGAGAAATAAGTCGGTGAAATGTGAAATGAGTAATAAAGGAAATGTGGATTTATGGTAAAGAACAGGGAGAAGCTTGAAATGTGATGAAATGGATAATTGAGAGACTGAGTGGTCACTTCTCTTAAGAAAACAGTATAATCTTGCTAAAAAACGAAATATGAGAAAAAAGTGAAAATTCTGTAGCAGAGAAAGTCGCCGCGGTAATGAAAAAAACACGGCGGGATCCTTAACAAGAAGCAAGAAGACACATCTCATGTTCATGTTTGGAGAAAGGGGTTCATCTTGTGGTGAAAACAGAGAACGGGAGAAGTGTGGATGGGGTGCTCTACTTTCCAAGTGTGATTAAGTGAGGAACAAGAAAGCGAATAGGCGTATCAGCTTAGAAATGTCTGAAAACAGCTTTTCTCTACATTTTTCCGTCACTTTTTCTTCTGACAACTAGCCACTCTTCAGTGTGTTTGGCATCCGGGCTCCATAAGCCGCGTAATCACGCTGTTATTACTTACTTCTCCACTTCGCTCGCCTCACAGAGCCAAAAAATAGCGCTCTCCATCCACATATTTCCCTTCTTCTGAAAAAATGCTAATCCGTGCCGTAATCTGTGAATTTCGTTTGGACTCTTCATGCCTTCCCCGTCGTCTTGGTTACTAGGTTACTAGTGTTTTTCATGCTTCCTCTTCTTGTCATGCAGGTGCTCACCAAAAGACACGCGTCCTCGGTTCTCCCTCCCTACTAAGCTGCCTTCCTTCTTGTGTGAGCCGCCCTGATTCAGAGTACCGGGTAGTACCGGGCATAGGAAGCCCAAACGAAACGCACAGATTAGTGAACGGATTAGCATCAGAGAAAGAGAGAAGTGTGGATGGGAAGCTCTATTTCCAGCTGTGATGAAATAAAAAACAAGAGGCAGAAGAAAGCAAAGAGGCGAATTAGCTTCTTCGGTGGAGAAGAGGGGAAGGCCCAGATATGCAATGAAATGACCACGAGGACGGAAATGGCATGGGGAGCCCGAGCAAACGCACGGATTAATTTCTCCACCATAAAAAAAAGGAAAAGTGGATAGAGAGCCCTACTTTCCAAGTGTTATGACGTTAAAGACGAGAGTCAGAATAAATCGAAGCGGGTTGGCTTCGCAGGTGGAGAAGATGAAACGCCTGAAATGTGATGAAGTGAATCATTGAGGGAGTGAAAAGTCAATGCTCATAAGAATACTGCAGGAGCTCATTCAAAATAGAAGAAAACGTAGAAAAAAAAGAATTTGAAACGATAAAACTTTTCGTTCAACTCGTTTGATTGGTTTCATGAACTTGAACAAACAAAATCGTAGTACGTATTAAAAACGCTTGTTGTATAACAAGACGGCTGCCTGTAGGCAAACCGCTCACGACGATGAGAAATTTGAGACAAATAGATAAGGAGTGACAGCGACAAGACGACAATCGGGTTAAACATTTTTTCTGCATCGGGAATTATTGATAAGCCTAATAGAAAACATACGGTATTATTGTCCTTTCACAAAACACTAGTCACTTTCCCAGTTCCTTAAAAATTTGAGACCTACAGGAAGAATGCTTGCACGTTTAATTTTGATTTACCATTAAAATGTGTGGTGACAGGCCTGGAGCAAATTTACAGTATTTTCTAACTGGTTGTGTCGAGATTCAAGATTATTCAAATATAATAAGTTTCAAAATAGTAATTATTGGCTTCAGAATCATGTATGGTTCTTTTCCTGGAGAAAATCACCTGAAAAATGACAATTTCTAGGTTTTTTGCAAAAGGTGAATCTCTCCTTTCAATTTACAACATTACTTGTTTATGACTCAAAAAACCGCAATATTTTTCACATTGTTTTTATAGAAGGGAGTTCTAACTTTATCTATTTTGTTCAGTTTTCCGGAGGTTCAACGTATTTTTCTCCATCTTCTTTCCCATTTTGCGCTGATTTTTTAACTCTCAAGCTTCTTCAAAAAAACATTTATCGTTTTCCTCCCTTTTTAAAAATTTATATTCAATAACATTTTCGTTGTAAATTATTAATTTTTAATGTAATCTAGTTTATCTATTGAGAAATGTTTTGAAAATGTCTGAATTCTGAAACATGAAAACAATTTTTTTTGAATCTAGAAGTTCAAAATTTTAGCGCACTTTTTTTTTGAAGGGGCTCTATTTCATCGAGGGTCTCACATTTCTTGGTACATTTAAACTGGAATTGAACCGACTATTTTCTTTTCGTCTCACATTTCATTCAATTTGAATGATCTTCTTCCCTTTTCAGACAAGCAGCGATTACTCAGTCCCTCAAGATCCCATTTTATTACATTGCTGGTTTTTTCCTCTTCTCCAACAAATGAACTGATCCGCCTCTTTGCTTTCTTATGCCCCTCGTACATCAAATTTAGAAAGTAGAACTCTCAATCTACACCCCAAGTGTTTCTTCACCACAAAACGCAGACATTTCTTCACACATGAACACAAAACGTCTCTCTTTTGCTTCTTGTTAGAGTCCAGCCTTATTTTTTTCTTATTGCCGCGGCGTCCTTCTCTGCTCCGGCGCATACACGGGGCGCTGTTAATTGGCCCCGGCTGTTCCACACTGGGAAGAAAGACGCTTGCTCAGGCGCCCCATGTCTCGATGCTCCTCCGCTCTCTTGGTTGGGGGTTCACGCAGAAGAGAAAGCCGCGTAGTAGTGAAAAGGACCCAAGGGTGCGTGTCGTTTAACGAACAACTGCCGGACCAAAAAAAAAGAGGAAACTGCCGAACAAAAAATGACGAGAACACGGGTAGTTTCTCTCCTCTCTTTTTTTTCTCTCTGGGTGGATCTTATCTTCTTTTTCCAAAAATTTTCTTTCCTGTTCAGCAAGTTCTCCTTTTCTAAAAAGTTTTATACAGTTATTCAACGATTTTCCACTTCAAACTTCAGAATTTTTTGTATTTAGAACAATGATAATTTTTCAGGAGTGGAATTTTATCAACTTGGGCGGTTAAACCTAGTGTAAGTTTGAACATGTTCAAACTCAATCAAAAAAAAATTTCACCACTGATGGAACAATGTGCGTACCTGATGTGACTGGTTTTGATTTTTTTCGGAATTTTTCAAAAATTTATTCATAATATCAATCGACGGTGAGTAATTAAAAATGTGTATCTAAATGAGTCTATTTTTTTTAGAATCCATGTGTTTGTCAAGAAGACTATCTCAAAGAGTTTCATCCATTGTCATGCCAGAACCTTCCATCTGAAAATGTCGAAACTCTCTTCTCTCTTGTCATCGTCATCGGTGCTTCGGAACGAGTGTTAGTTCATTAATCAGTTTTCAGTTTTTCTGAATTCAAATTGTAAATCAGCCTTACATACTAGGTTCTAATTTTCCCAGTTAAGATAACTTATTTCATCTCTCAGACAAGCTAGGGAAGTGATTTATGTATATTTTCAGGATATAGATGTCTGAAAATGTCTAAATGATTCCTATTCAAACCGTGTTTGTGGTACCTCGGATTCTTGACAAGCTAGAACAAAAAAATTTGGAATGAACAAGACTAATTTCACAAATTTCAGATTTAGAAGTGTGGATCTGCACTGTCCATCTGACCAGGAAAGACCTGAAGAACGCGTGTTGCACAACGGAAGCATGAATATGGAATTTCGGACAAATGGAAATAATTTTTTCATATTCTTATTATCACATTTTTTTACTAGATTTTCATTTTTATTTTATAGTAGATTCTGCTAACGATTACCTAAAGTTTTGATATATTTTCATTTTAAAAAAATTTAAATATAAAATAAAATTTTTAAAGTTAGTTTTTTGCTTTTACATTTTCAGATCCTCCACATTTCCGAATCTCGGAGTTTCAGAATTCAAAAATCACAAATTTTCTGGATTTCAAAATCCCGAACTGTAAAATTTTCAGAATCTCAGAAATTCTTACACAGGATATTCCTGAAACTAAAAGTTTTAGAATCTCAGACGACTTATTCATGTTTTTCATTCATCGTTTTCACCAGCTCATAAGTATTGCATAGTTTTTTTGAAAAGTTCAGTTTGCCAAATTTTGCACCGTTCTCAATTGCTCCGTTTTGCTCCGTTCTCTTTTCTTGAGCAGTCATCTTCACATTGCGCTCTTGGGTGGCGCCCGAGCGCTGTCACACACTGCGAAGATGGGTCCGTGCGTTTGTTCGGGCTCCCTATACCTTGGTACCACCCCGTCCAGGGGAGCGTGTCAGGGGGAGCGGCACACACAGAAAAGCAAACGGCGTCGCCGTGAAGAGAACCATAAGACGCGTGTCGTTTGGCGAACAACTGCCCGACAAGAAATAAAGAAGCAAGGAGAGCACGAGTGATTTTTTTCTCCTTCTTTTTTAGTGGGCTTTTTTCATCGGGACAAAAACGCACTACTCTCAGTTGAAAAAATGTTCTGGTGGCGTTACCTTTTTTTGTCCTTTTTGTTCGTTTTGTTCGGCAATATCTCTGAGCTTGCGAATCAATTTTCACTGATTTTCGTATAAAATGTTCAAAAAATATGTTTTGTAATTTTTCGAAATTAAAACAGTTATAGTTTTCCAGGAATGGAATTTTGTCAAATTGGGTCAATTAAAACCTGATGTAAGTTTGAAAGTGTGGAAACCCATTCAAAAATATATTTTTCAGCACTGATGGACCTAACCTGATTTCTCGGACCCGAAGTGATTTATTTTATTTTTCTAATTTTTTTCTCTCATTCCTAGTGCAAATCAAAGGTGAGTCATGATGAATATGTTTTTTTATAACTCTCATTTTTCAGATTCCGTGTGTTAGAAGTCTTGGTTTTCACGAAACTTGATTTTTCTGAACTTGTAAGTGTTTTTTCTACAAATTTTGGTTTCTAATGAACCTAGTTGCAACGCGCCGGGCCGAGCCGGGGCCGAAAAAGAAATTTCGTTGGGCCGGTCCGCCTTCCACAGTTGAAAAATTTCCAATGAAAAGTTAGGTAATTTTTTTGAATTAAAAAGGAAAAAAGGTTACATTAGTTAGCAAACTTAACAAAGTAAAAAGTATTCAAAAAAATATCGTTTTTGTTTAAATTTTTGAAGAAATTCCAAAATTTTCGAAATTTTTTTTAAATCGTCGTCTGTAGAAACCCCTGCCCGACCCGTCAAAATTCTCGACGGAACGACCCGCGGGCCAGCCCGAAATTTTGCAACTATGCTAATAAACTACATGTAAGAAGAAATCATTTGTATTCTCCGGAATACGCTGGAACAGTTAGAAGTTCTGCTTACAATTAGCTGCAAAACTTTTCACAGATGTAAACTGATAATATCAAACTTATCTGAAAGTTCCCATCCATTCAAAATGTCTTAACTAATTTTTTGAAAAAAAAGTTTTTAGCATTGAAAAAATAAAAGAGTATGATTCATAATCATTGCAGAACATTCCGTTTGGAAATGGCCGAAATATGTATTCTCGTCCTTATCTTCGCCGTTGTCTTAGTCATGGCGACTCCGGAAGCCGTCAACGCTGCAGTGCAAAGATTTTGTCTGCCATGATTGCGGTATGCCCAAATAGAATTAGCACTAGTTCTATTCAACACAGCAATTATATGTTTTGTTTTTATTCGATTAACACTGATTTAATTTATTGCACTGTTTCATTTTGTTTCAAAACGCACAATGTAAAACTTTTTGCGAAAAATTATTTAAATAAACAATTTATGAATATAAAAACATGTTTTTTGAAGTCTATCATTTTAGAATCTCAGAATTAAAGAATTTCAGACTTTATGAATTACAGAATTTCAGACTTTATGAATTACAGAATTTCAGAATTTCAGAATCACAGAATCTCAGAATCTCAGAATTACAGAATTTCATATCCTCAGAAGTACTGCTTACAAAATCTCTGATTTTTCAGAATTTCGAAAGCCCCAGATTCAGAATCTCAGAACTTCAGAATCTCGAAAACTCATACATTAGGCATTTCAGATTTTCAAAATTTCTGAATTTCTGAGATTTTAACCTTCACATTTTCAGAATCTTAAAATTACAGAATATATAATTATCCGAACTTCAGATTTTCAGAATTTGATAATGTCAGATTTTCAGAAGTAAGACTTTCTAATTCTCTAAGTTTCAGAATTCACAACATCAGAACTTCAAATTCAGAACTCCACAATTTCAGAAGTTCAAAACTCCAGAATTTCCGAATTTCAAAATTTCTGTCTCTCAATGTCAGAGTTTCAGAGTTTCAAACTTTCAGAACTTCACACTGTCAGAAATTCAGAATTGCGGAATTCAAGAATGTCAAATTTTCAGATTTTCAGAATTCAATTCTTTTCAGAAACAATTTCTGATTCTAAAAATTTTAAAATATCGGAACCCTTAGCCTACGAACATCAGAATTTTTCTGGGATGGTATAGCAGTCTAAAACATGTTTGCAACGGGCCTGGCCGGAACTTCAAAAAGTTGGTCAAGGCCCGGATAGTTGGCGCCAGCTTGGTAATTTAGGAAAAACAGCTTGTTTTTTTTGGAAAAAAGTTGTGTATAGCATCTAACTTTAAGTTTAATTGTAAATATCTAATTTCTAATGCTTAAACAAAAATTTTAAAATTATTTTTTCTTAAATTTTTCCGAAGTTTGGATCGGCTTAAAAACTACATTTTTGAAGCAAAATAACATTTTTTAAAACTAACTTTTTTGTAAAAAATTTTCAAATGTTTATCAAAAAAATTTTGTGATAAATTTCGACCGAAAAATTCCCATCCGGGCCGAGCCCTCAAAATTGTTCAAGTGTTTCGAAACCGCTATTAGAGCACTTATATATAGAGTAACGTGTCGACACAGAGTCGTATCGACACAAGTGAAAAATATCTGAAAAATCGTATCGACGCAAGTTGGCACAGAGTCGATTTGTGTCGACTTGTGTCGATACTGTGTCGTTTCTGGTGTCAGTCGACATGATTTTTATCGACTTCAATAGTCCGACTGGTCGACTCGAATCGTATCGATTTTTGTGTCGACACGTTACTCTACTTATATATAATGACCCCTTTTTACTAATCTTGTCGACAGCTGGTTTATGCCTGCCCGTCGCAAGGTCACCCGAGCTGCGACCGTATGTAAGAGTGCATTCATTGTCCCCTGCGCACCGTTTGTGTGACACACTCTCTAGCGATCAATTCAATCCACTCCCATTGAGAGGGTATGAAAGACGTTGGGTTTTTTGCAAGATTATCAGAATTACTCAATTTTCAAACCATTACTACCTATGTAATTTCAAATGTTTTTTATTACACTTTTCTCTTTTTGACTCCGAAATAATGACACTTGCACATGAACTTATTAATTTTTTGAAGAATATCAATATAAATTTCAACAAGTAAAACGAAACCTTTCGAAAACTTTTTAAAATTCGAAAACATCTCAAAAATTTTGAAAACAAAAGTAAATGGAATACTTTCAAAATCAATGTGCCACTATCTTTCTTTTCCTTCCCCACATTAGGACTAACTCTTGCGGGTTAGTCCTTCTTTCCTTCGTTTTTATCATTTTCTTTCCCCGGTTACCATCATTCCTCATTTCTTCAAATCCTTCGAATAAACGAAATATATAAAAAATGTTTGCTCGTTTTTCCTAATTTTTTATTGCAAATATTTTACTTCCATAAAATAATTTCTATCAAGTTTCAGAATGGGTATCTCAATATTAAAACAGCCATATTTGGTTCAAAAGGAAATACTTGAACAGATGGGATACATGGAATTGTAAGTGTTTTTTTTGGAAATGCACAGAATAATATTGAATTCAAGAAACAGCTTTGGAAAATTCGTTTTTTTCCAGGTTCGACTTGACATTCATGTCTCGTCCTCTGAAGTACACAGCTCACAGTCTGCACATTCCATGTAGCATTTTTGGATGGAGAGTTGGATGCCCCGGGACATCTATAAATATCACTTTGAAGGATTTGAATCAGAGAAATGTAAAAATCGCATTCAAAATTGACAAAGTCCCAGCCACCACAATGCGAAAATTTGTGAATTTCAAGCGAAAGTTGCCGATCAAACGTTCCGGAAAACAATTCGTATTGAAATGTGGAAAAGACGACTCTGAGAATGTTCTAATTCTGGAAGACTTAACCCAACATCTTTTGAATATTCTTCGAGTTGATGATTTCTTGCTAGCGTCCCGTTTAAACCTTTCCGGAACGAATATTTTCGAGACAACTCAGAAATTTGCGTCGTTGAAATTAATGAATCAAGACCTGGCTGAAGATGAAACAAGAAAAATTTTGGAATCTTTAGAGGTTGATGATTTACATTTGAGTTTCACTGGACCAAAAATTCGAGATGGCCCAAAAGATTTTGAGTTGAAACATCCAATCATGGAATTGGGCAATGTCGATTGGCTCTCTATCCAGTCAATACTGGCAGCTAAATGTGAACGTCTTCTTCTAGGAAGAGTCAATCACATTACTCAAAAAGACTTCTCGGATATTGTCAGAACTTGGGCAAATGGAGGATTCGAGAATCTTCAGGAGTTGAAACTTCAAGTTCCCTGGACTTGGGAATTGAGCGATGTGAGGGATTCATATGTTTATAGAGACGATGTTTACAAAAGCTTTGCTGATATGGATGTCACGATCACGTAAGTTTTTGCGAAATTCCGTTCTGTCTCTCACATTTTTTGAATCCTAAAATATTGTCATTTTCAAAATGTTTCAAATTTTAGCCACGCGTCAAGAGATGGAGATCAAAAAACAATCAGACGTAATTCTGACGGGAAAAGAGCTCAAATCACTTTCATGAAGACATTCCATTTTGTGGTACTACCGTAGTGCTGTGGTTGCTGATCCTAATAACTGATTATGGTCAATTCCTACGTTCTCCGAATTCCAAAACATTTTCGTTGTTGTATCTTCTCTTTTCCATCTTCTATTGGCTTTTTTGAACATATTGAATCGCTTTTTATTTCATTTTGACATTTCTAAGATAATCGAAAACAACCTTTTTTCCAATTTTTTATATACTTTTCTGAATCTCTGAAAGGAGATTCTTAAATAGTTTTAAAATCCTATGTTTTTTTCACTTTTTTATCTCTCCTTTTTAATTCTGAAATTCTGAACCGATAAATTGAAATAATTTTTTTTAGTGTACTATCTTACAATCTACAATATTTCTTGTCAATCTACAATATGAAATCATATTGAATCAAATCATATCAAATTTCGATAAAATGAGGACTAATACGTATTTTTTGTGCGTTTCCTCATAGTTTCATTGTTTTTTGCTCAGCCAGTTTTTTGTATTATATTTTTCCTATTCAATACAAAATATTTTTCTTAACTTTAGAAAGTGAGAGAAATAAAATTTGGAAAATTAAACTAACAGCAAGTTGTAACTCTCTTTCCTATTCAAAAAATTAGTTTTTAGATCAGCATGCTGTGATATGAAGGCCTGAGATTTTTTTCTGACTTCTCTGGAATTATATCTTTTTAACGCATCTTTGAACCTCCTTTAGAGAGTTTTACCAGAAGAAGCTAAATTTTGGAGAGCTTCTATGAACTCAATATTTGAAAAAAAAAACCACTGAAAAATTAAAGGATTCCATTTTTTGGTATTATATTTATTGAAAAACAACAGGACATCTGTTGAAAACATAGTTTAGTTTTCAGAATATAATGGATCAATAGTTTCGGCGGATCTTCAATGTGAATTTATTCGGCCCACACTCCGGGGGTACATCAAAAAGGGGTACATTGAGGGTACATCACTCTTATAGGGTACATTGACTCAGAGGGTACATTGACTGATAGGGTACATCTGTGGAGGAGTCTGATAGGGTACATTTAAGCAACTCTCATAGGGTACATCGACGAAATACTCAAAGGGTACATCGAAAAAATCTGAAAGGGTACATTGGTCTGATTTCGCACAGTTTTCGAATGTTCGTAACTTAATGAGACGGACAAGTTTTATAACGAAGTTTCGGTCATTCATCGGATTATAAGCAACTTACTGATGCTCGGCGAGGTTTTGCAACGTGCTCCTCCTCAATCTTGAATAGTAAGCGCTCATTCCTCGATCACTTAGGGACGAACATTGTATCTTTCATTGTATCTGTTTGAAGTTATTTATCTTCCTGGGCTAGAAAAAAAAGGGTAGCTCGCTGCTCAAGCTTTCAGAATGCGGGTAAATTACTAAAATTGTTTTGAAATAGCGTTCCTGAGTGATCGAGAAATGAGCGCGTACTATTCAAGATTGAGGAGGAGCACGTTGCAAAACCTCGCCGAGCATCAGTAAGTTGCTTATTATCCGATGAATGACCGAAACTTCGTTATAAAACTTGTCCGTCTCATTAAGTTACGAACATTCGAAAACTGTGCGAAATCAGACCAATGTACCCTTTCAGATTTTTTCGATGTACCCTTTGAGTATTTCGTCGATGTACCCTATGAGAGTTGCTTAAATGTACCCTATCAGACTCCTCCACAGATGTACCCTATCAGTCAATGTACCCTCTGAGTCAATGTACCCTATAAGAGTGATGTACCCTTTTTCGATGTACCCTCGGAGTATGGGCCAATTTATTCAAATGTTTTTCACAATTATTTGATAGCTGTAACTTCCTACAAATTCACTTTGGTAACAGTTTTTTTGCATTATTTCAATATGCTTCTTGCACATAAATTATGATCTAACCCAACTCGTTTGATTAACGCATTTGCGCCCCGTCGCACTTACCCGTGTACTCCCCGAGGACAACAGACGTTTTCGTTGGTTACAATAACATTTTTGAGTTATTTCGGTCATTTTTTCTAGTATTCAGTAAACGAATCACAGATAAAAGATTGGTGATTACATAAAAATTAGTTTTCAGATGAATGCGTTGCAGCAAAGGACGAATCAAAGTCGATACTGGTCATATTTTCGTCTTCAACATAACAAATTGAGGATCTTCCTTATATATAAAACGCTAGACGTGTCTGTTGGTCCTAGTGTCCGGCTGTCCGGTTTCGGGTTTCAAATAAGAAATAGGCCGCCGCCAAAACTGAACCCGCGGCCCTTCGGACAACGAATGTGCATGCACCCAGTTGTGCCATGAAGGCCACACCAGGAAAGAGAAGGGAGGGCGTACTTGTTCTACCCTTTGAGAAAGAGAAAGCAGAAAGTGAGGGGTGGAGCGACAAACCAGTAAAAAACATTGAATTGCGCCGAAGGCGCAGCAGCTAGCAGGCTGGTTTTCTCATAAAACAACAACAGTTATTGTAAGTTTTTGTTCACATAAAAATCTAAAAAAACCGCTCAAAGGCTTAGAAAAATTCCTCAGTAAATTTTATAATAATAATATAAAAACTAAAAGCTGAAGAATCAGTGTGAGAGCCGAAAATTATGCTTTTCCTTCATGCGATGTGTGAATTGACTCTCATATAGGCTGAAGACTATCCTCACGAGCTGAGATGGGAACTTTTTCGCCCGGTTTCTCGAAAAAATCGATGTAAAAGCCAAAAATCAGGCTGAAAAGTCTTCTTTGTCTAGCGGTGTGTGAATTGGCTCTCATATAGGCTGAAGACTATCCTCACGAGCTGAAATTAGAACTTTTCCGCTGATTTACTCATAAAAATAAAAATGAAAAAAAATATATTCGGAATAGCTGTCCTATCCACGTCCTGTAATATATCATTCCCTGGTTTCTCACCGAATTCTGTCTGTTTCTTATCGAATAGCCGACAAACGTTGGTCTTCTTTCTCTATGCAGTTTGCAACTGCTTCCGATCAACCCTCAGTCTCCATCGGGTCTTTCGTGTTTTCCGTCTGTTTTTCACACCGGCTATCGACACAATGGACACACCTGCTATCGGGCTAAGTTCTGAAAGGCTTATGATTTCAATTGGTAGCTTTATCTGCTTGATAAATGAAACGTCGTCAGTTGCAAATATCGTGATGCCATTGCAAGTTGGCTTGTCATCCGGAGTTTGTGGTTGACGATGTATCAAATCTAATTTATTATCAAAAAAGTGTTGAATGGTGAGTTTTTTTTCAAATTCCAAGTTTTCATATCCGTTCTTCTTTTTGTCTATTTTCTCGGAAAAAAAGTGTTGCTGATCAAAGGGATACTTTTAAAGATCAGAAGACGGTTGAACTAGGTTGGGTCGAAGAACAACTGGAAATCTTCAGTCAATTTTTTCTAACTTTAAAGGACATGGCCAGAAAAGAAAATGCATTTATTAAAAATTGAATTACAGTTGGGTTGTTTGGGAAATTTATTAGGGAAAGTAGCCAGTCAGCATTGTTTAAGCAGTCAATGGCAACTGATGAGTCTCCATTTTTCTTCTCAATGTAACTTTTCTCTCACCGTGTCCTTCACATTTGTACTGTAATCCAAAATAGCAGAGGAGGGGAATAACTGCGAGAAGAATGAGCAAAATGTCGAGGAGGATGATGCAAGCCAGGATCATGAGCATATTTGAAATCGACATCTGAAATTCTAAGAAGTTGGTAGTTGTAGTAATTTATTTCAAACGTTTTTCGTTCAAATATTCGTTACCAAACAAAACGTTCAATATTGTTCAATTGAGGCGAGTTTTCAAAAAAAAACTATAATATCCATGATTACTTACATTATAAACCTGTTCGATTGCTGACGAAAAGGCGGCGTCATGCGTGTTTTCCAGAGTTCCTGCGGAATTTTCCGGAACATTCAAAAGGAGATCAACAGGGCCCGAAGTTGAGTTTCCGAGTGCACTTGGTGCCCCCATTGTGGTCAGCAGAAAAGCCAAAAGAACTGCAAGACGACAGAAAAGGAGTGTCATCCCCTGAAACTTTAGTACAAAAATATAATGATAATTTCAGTTCTTATTGACAGCTTAGTGATTTCGCATCTGAATTTTAAGAGAGTTTGGCGATAATCTAAAAAGATTATCTCCAAACTCTCGAATCTCAGCATCTAGAACCCCCAAAAAACAATAAGAATAAGAATGCATGAAAAATTGTACGAATTTTTGATTTTTATATGTTCGGGCGAGAGTACAAGACACAGAGAAACTGTCAAGCAGAAATAGTGTTGGCTAGAACAAGCTGTGGGAAAAACTGTAAATTTATGCAAGAAAAAATCAAAAGATTTGTGAGAACCGAAAATATCGCGTGATTGTATGGTTTTTGAACTGTTGATATAGATGTGGAAACTACGATGTATTTAGCGAAAAATTCCAGTTTGGCTAGAAAATTTCAGACTAATTGGGAGAAGTACTTATTTCACTTCTAAAGTTTTTATGTAAGGGCTTTTATTATAACATGCGAGAGAATTTGAAAAATCAGTCTCTAAATAGGAGACCCACCTCGTCATGCTATATTATTTTCAAGAAAAAATCGTTCTGTTTTTTTCAATTGAGCTTATAGGCTATGCAGCAAAATGTTTGAAGCTCATACACCGAAAAAGTGTATTTACTAAAAAACCAATTTTCGTAAACTTGAAAATAAAGTTTTTTGTTTTTTTTGGAGAAATAGGAATAAATTTGTGTTTTCCAGCCACCAAAACAGAACAGAGAAGATGTCTGATAAGGGTTAGTTTATCAGACACCTTAACCACACATTCTGGTGAATTTCAAACTATTGCACTCATGAAAGTGACAATCCAATTGAAAGTAACCGACATGTGGGCAATTCAATTGGAAGTTACCAATATGTTCAGGTGAATGCATTGACCAAATGCATCGGCCGTCGGAGCTGCCGCTGCTTGTTGCATGTATCCAGAAGACGATCCACCAGGCCACTCAAATCTAGAATATTGTTCTTGTTTGCCGGAAGAGGCAATTGGTTCGCACAAAAAGCTGAATGACAAAGACTTACGGCGAAGTAGAATCTTGAGGTGACAACAGATGATGATTTGAATCAGACTGATTGTTTAAAAGAGCCGCTGATTTCCCATGAAGGCTTCATGAAGGTATCGCTTCCTGCTGAGTGTGCATTAGCTTGTCCACTGCATTGCAATGGAAATGATGAAGTCAATAGAATTTTTTCATACTTCCAGATCCGTCGCCAAAGACCAAGCTGAAGGATTTTATCCGTGCGGGCAAAATTGTCTCGTTTGAACTCGTTCGAATCTTGCGGGATCTGTTCTTTGGAAATCATGACCAGATGTCAACTTAAAGAAAAACTTCGCCATTGCAGTTTCTTGCTCATTTTCATGCACTTCAGATTAATTTGTCAATTTTTCCTTATATTCAAATGCCAATTAATCGTTTTCGATCGTCAATGTGGTCATCTGAAAAAAAACGGTGATTTGCTTGAAGTTTAGATAAATATCTACCGAATTCAGCTAAACTTCGATTGTTAACAGACAAAAGCTGGTATTTTTTATGATTTTTCACATTAGAGGATATAAATTCTGTAGTTGTTTGAAAACTCACCTTTAAAAACCATGAATACTTCTTGGAGTGATGATAAAAACGCCAGATAGGTGCCTGCCAATATCCTTCGGGGATGTGCCTGCCAATATCCTTCGGGGATGCGTTGTCGAGCCATCGATCTGGTGGACGAAACAATAGGAAAGATGGGGTGCCTCGCATCTTACTGACTGGCAGGAGGAGGCGAGCCGCGCGCGACACGCAACGCATTTGACGGCACTTTCTCAACAGGGTATTAAAATGGTTTCAGCGGGTATTATTTTTTTTTCTTCAAAATGGCATGACAGAGTGGCAGAGGGTTGAAAGATTTTAGATTGTGCCATGGGACACGACGGAGTAACTTTCAGAAGGCCAAAAAAAGAAGATCCAGGAAATTCAGCTTTCTTCTGAAAAGGACAAGCGGTCGGCAAAGTATCTGCATGAAAAAGACTTACGACGACGTGGTATCGTTCTCATTTGACTGTAGGCTCCATAGATTTCAATCAAACAATGATTACAATGATTATTTCATGGAGCTGCGACATTATTGAAAATTTTGAAGAAGTTCGAATCAAATGCAATCTCATCATCGGAGCGGCGCTGTTGGTTGTACATATCCATCCTGAAGACCAACCGAGTCAAGAATATTCAGTTTTTGATGTAAGGGACAATTGGTTGGCAAGAAAAGCCGAATAACAAAATCTTAAACCTGAGGGCCCCTGAGATTTGAACAAAATGTATTGTTGATTTCATGGAACTCGCACAATCGTCGAGATTTTTGCATGTTTCCAAGTCTGATCGCCAAAGACCAAGCCATTAGCTTTTTCGTTTGTACGGGCAAAATCAGCGCGAAGTCAATAGAATTCGGTGAGATCAGTTCATTGATCCAGAGCCAGGATCCAATTTGAAGAGACGACTTTGCCATCACAGTTTCTTGCCCATTCTTCTGCATTAATTTGTCCATTTTCCTTATACCATAAAACCTGTATTAGAAGGGCCCCTGAAATTGATGGGCCCCCCTAGAGACCTCACAAAAAATAGAAGTGCCCCCTCTATTTGAAGTACCCCCTCTAATTGAAGTGCCCCTTTGACTACTAATTCCTTTGATTTTCAGCCGTTTTTTCTATTGTTTTGATTGAATTACTGTCTGATTTAAAAAAATACTGGCACCTGAAAATTTGAATGCCGTTGCTCTAATACAGATGTTTTTCTCGTTTGAGCAATTTTCGCAATCAAGCTCAGAGTTTTAGATTTAGAAAATTCTAGAAATTCTAGCAATCAAAATGTTATCAAGAAATCTGAATTTTAATCAAAAAATCCAACTAAATTCAAAGAAGTTAATTTCGTTTGATATAATGGCGGATTCAAGGACGATGCCTCACGAACGGCGCCCGCGAAATTTTCAGGTGCCAGTTTTTAAAAACTTAGCAATATTGGTGTTTTGCTTTTTTTTACTGTAGAAATTGTAATGGATTTTTAGTAGAAAAACGAAATTTTCACTGAAAAATGATGCCCCTCCAATAGAAGATCCGTTTTCAGAGGACCCACGAAAAATACAAGTGCCCCCTATAATTGAAGGGTCCCCTTGGGACCCCACGAAAAATAGAATGGCCAGCCCTTCTAATACCTTTTAATACGGTAATTTGGTGTTATTTCCCCGTTGAAATCGAGAGTAATGAATTTCTCAACTTCAGAATGTCGGAGGAAGACTCTTTTCATGATGTATCGGAGGAAGAGTGTGAAAGAAGGAAAAGAAGACAGAATTTTACGATGGAATTCAAAAAACAAGTTGTGGATTTTGCAAACAAAACTTTGCTTATAACAAATAAAATTGTTGATGTTAAAAAATTGTTAAGTAAAAACAACAAAATTTTAACCGAAAGACGATGTCCCTATAATAGAAGTGCCCTTCTCAGCGACCCGCGAAAAATAGAATTGCTCCCTCTAATTGAAGTGCCCCTCTAATTGAAGTGACCCCCAAGAGACCTCACGAAAAATAGAAGAGCCGGCACTTCTAATACAGGTTTTACGGTATTCACATGAATCAAATTCCAATGAATCGTTTTTGATCGTCCGTGTGGTCATCTGAAAATAAAACCGGTGATTTGTTTGAAGTTCAACTAGGTATCTACTAAATTCAGCTAAAGTTTGATTGTTTACGCAAAAAGGTTGGTATTTTTCATAATTTTTCACATTTGAAAAATAAATTATGTAGTTCTTTGAAATCACATTTTTGAAAACGTTGAAAACTCATTGAATAGATTTTTAATCTGCCAATATCCGTCGGGGGTGCGTTGTTGAGCCATCGATCTGGTGGACTAAACAATAGGGAAATAGGGGTGCCTCTTGCTGACTGACAGGAGAAGGACACGCAACGCATTGGACGGCACTTGTTCAACAGGATATTAAAATGGTTTCAGCATTGTCTCTAATTTCAAAAATTGAGAAATTTTCAATAATTCCCTGGTTCTGCCAGCATTCGCTTCAACTTGAATTTTTTTAAATCATGGATGGATTTGTTTTAGAGAAGACATTCCCCCATCGATGAAGTCCGTCAAGAGCGGTTCAACGTTTGATATTTAGTGAGCTTTCTGGATGCATTGGCTGAGCAGAGAACGGCTTTTCTGAATGTGTCCGGCGCCTTCGTTTCATCTGAAATTTGAACAAATGTGAATTTCTCAAAGTAAGACAATTCATAACTTACACAAGCAGGGGAAAAATTGAAAAAAAAACTTCCCGGAAACAACTTCCTTTTGCACATCATTCATTTCCTCTACCAGATATGTCGTAAAGACCACCATTTAGATGCCTCCAACAGAATGGCCAGCTTCTTTGAGAATCAAATTGAGAACCTCTGACCCGAATTAGTCGTAGGAGAGCTCGACCGTGTAGAAGAAGACTCCAGCGACTGAGTGGAATGTACTGAAAATCCATATTTACAAAGTAAAAACTATTTTAGTTTGCAGACACTCACCACCGCTTCTCGTTGAGAGAAAAAGGAGCGCATTGGGAACTCGGTCGGCTTATGATGGAGTCCTAAATTCATCTGGAAGCAGATCCTCAAGACGTAAACTGACTTCATCTGAAAAATACTTTTGTTTTCATTGTTGCTTTTTCAGCAAATGTAGTGAAAAGATTGACATGAAACTCGGAAGCCGTTTTTATCACTGGGTAGTATTTTTACATATTCTCAAAAGCTCACCTTAATGGGTGTGATCAACTTTTCGATGACATCGGTAGACACGAATAAAACAAGAATTGAATTTCTCTTGTAGACAGGACGAACTCTGAAAATAGTCATGAATTAGCAAAAAATCTGAAAGAAACATAGTGGAAGCTGATCAAAAATAAAGTAAATCAAAGAAAAAAAACAGCACACAATTATTTTCTGAATTTGAAAAAGGAGCGCAAATGGGAGTGTTGGCGTATTCCGCGTCTAAAGGCGCAATTTGCGTGTAGCCGAAGACGATGGAAGCGAGACGTAATTATAACTGCCCTCGTTGGGGCAGCCGATGTATTGATCGGTGACCGAAAAGAAGAACACAGTGTGGTAGGCACATTTCCTCGTTGTGATCGTATGAGCATTGTGTGTGTATGTTGCGCGCGCACACGTCATCTGCTCACCATACCTCGACCAGCGATGCGGCCGGGGTTTTTAATTTCCTCTTCCATCCACAAAACCTTGGTGAAGAATCACTTTCAGAAATGCTTTTTATTGAAATGCAAATAAAATAATTAAGCCACAGAATTTCAAAATGATAAGAACAAGAAGAAGTATTTCACATGTAAATATGAGCAAAAATGAGTGTCAGGATTCAAGTGGAGGGGTTTTGAAGAAAAAAATCATCATGGGAAAAGGAAGAAGTATATGCTCAAATAAGAATTAAAGACAATGAAAAGAAAAATTCAAAAAGCAAATGAAGCATGAATATATGGGACACATGAAAGAGTACATGGAAAAGTAAAACTATTTTTTATCTTCAGAGCGCTTGTCTTCCACGTCCTCGCTTCTTTGGCATCGTCTCTTTCTTTTTCTGACTGATTATCTCAATTCCACTATCCGCCAGCTTTTTCCGGAGTTCTTCTGAAATTTCTTCTTCCGATTTTTGTTCTCTCCTCCAATCTCCATTATTCTTCTGATTCTTTGTGTCGTAATAGCATTTGACTAGATCTTTGGAGTCGACACAACCGCGTAGCTGAAAATTTGTTTTTAGTTAAGAACAGATTAGCAACTAAATGTAAGATTCTCTGATCTCACAAAAAACACAAGGAAAGTGAGGTTTACCTGCTTCTCCAAGTAAAAATGTCTACGCTTCTTAGTTGTTGCCGTCATCTCTTCTCTTTCAAAAGCGATATTGGCATTGATAATGTTCTGGACATTTTCTGGGGCGTATTTGGGAATGAACAGCTCCTTTCCAGCAAGAATAGTGGCATCGAGATCGTTTTGGTGCATGGAGAAGAGGCTCAATATCTGAAGTTTTTTATTTCGAAATTTTACTGAACTTCCCGCCAAACCGTTTCCAATGGAAGATGTGCCAACTCTTTCTTTAAATGTTCTATGACTTCTGTGTTTGGCTTCGAACCTAATGAAACTTCTCGGTTTTCTGATTGCTGTTCTTTGCCGGAAATTGGCGCAGGAAGAGTGGCAAGGTTGCTGAAAATGTTTTTATAGTTGAAAACTGTCAAGTCCTAAGAAACTAGGTCATGGTTTTTGATTTGTCTGAAATTTTCAAAATATCCTTTTGGCTTTCTCAGAATTTCAATTTCCAGCATTTTCAATTTGCTATATATTTCGAGATTTCGAGAAACAATAAAAAAGATTTCAAGTTTGGCGCCAAACACTCACTTCAAATTATATTTGGGGTGATAGTTGTTATCGATTTTCTTCTCGTTCATTCCAGAACTTTGCATGATTTTTTTGTTCGGTTGAAAATCCTGAAAATTAGACATTTTAAGAACTTTTGGAACTTTAAGAAATATGGCCTAAAAATTTGAAAACGGGCTAAAATTACGACAACACAGAAAAATAAACGTCAGGGAGAATTGAAGATCGGAAAACAAAATAAACTGTTTTCTGATTCGGCTGTGTACATGTGATGCTCAGTCAAAAAATTGGAAAACATTGTTATATGTACCTGGATGGGAGTGTATTCCACCTTTTGTGCAAGGCGGGTATATTGGAAAACCAGGTGGGGCAGATCGGAAGGGGGATATGAAGCAATATACTGAAAAATCAATATAAGAATAACAATAGTGGTCTCGTTTGTAGAGGAAATTCTTTTGGGAAAAAGAGAGATAAAGTGGGTTCCAACAAAATATGGGGTGTGATTTCTCGAACCTGCCATTACATTCTAGGCCGAGACCTCGATCCCTATAAAAATAGATAGAAAACAAATATAGTTACATTTTCTGAATAAGAAGTTTGTATAACACTTCAAAATTTTTCTCACATTGACTCTTACAAATTATCACTTCTTTGGCGTCAGGATTCACATAAAATTTTTATGAGACTCTCTCATTCCCAATTGATATATGTGTCATTACTTTCGACAATTCCTAAGACTCATTTCTTTTTTTCTTTTGCTAACGCTATTTCTCCACAATGTTGTCTGCGTCTTCAGCTCTCTAAAAAACTGTATATAAACATAAATTGTTACTCATTCTGTTATTTTTTGAATGCACTCTCTCGTGATTCGTTATGTGTTCTAAATTCTCATGATTTTTTAGTTTTCTCATGAAACATAAAACATTATTATTTTAGCTTCTCCCTAATTAGATTTAGATCTTAAAAACTGCATTTTTGCAACTTCAAAAGTGATTGAAGGAACTAGATAATGTTTTAACTTTTCCTTAGCTAGTTCAGAAATTCCAAAAAAGTAGGTTGATTTCCCGGCGGCTTGCATATATCGTATTTTATATACTTAGACTGGGAAATTCTTATATTTTGTCTTTCCTGAAAAACATCCTATATTTGAAAACAGCCAAAATAATAAAAAATGAATTTCGTTCGAGAGAATTACACGGTTAGAGACAACTAAATCATAGGACACGGCCATACGATCCTTCTCTTGCGCATCACTTCTCTCCTCCCTCTCCTGTCCCGTTCTCTTCAGACGCTCCGCCCACATCACACACAAAACATAGCGAGCGGCGGAACCCGGGGAGTGTCCGTCCATACAAGAGTACTACACAATCCGTTAATCATTCCTTCCGCATGTCTTTCAGTGAACTTACCTGAAAAATTAAATCTGGGAACATTCTGATATTTCTCTGAATAAGAATCCCTATGGCAATTGCAGGGCCGTGTGGCAATCTCAAGATAAGATTTGCCAATAGCTTAATTTTTAGACGAAGCTGCACGCGCGGTGGCACTGAATTCTGAATAACCATTTTTGTCAACTTCAAAAATTGCAATGTCTAAAAATAGATGAAAATAGAGTTTCTTCTCTATAATGTTATATGTGAAGCTAGTTTTTCAGAAACATCTTTAGTTTCCGTATTATTATCTGTCTCAGTTTTTTCCTATCTATGAACTTTTGATGGTCAATTTTTAGAAAGATGAGGGGGTTTACCCTTCTCATTCTCATTCTTGGTCTTATCAATATCACTACCGGGATGCCAACTTCTCGTTTGGATAACAGAACGAACAATCAGGAATTCGAAATTTTAAACGCTACTATGATCTCCTCAAGTGTAAGCGTTTGTCTTTTTTTGGGGAAAAAATATAATTGACATTTAAAAAAAAAAGAAAGAAATGATGAAAACTTTAATTACAGGTTGTCAACTCCACTATTTCTCAAATCAATCCCATAGTTTCTTCTACTTCATTGCTCACAACCACAGAAGATTCCAGAAAAGTGAGTGATGGTTTTTAGTAGTCCTAACCTCAATTTCGAAATACATCTAGATCTGTAAAATTTGCAAATTCGCATTTTTTACCAAACCAGTTTTTTTCTAATTTTCGCGTTCTTTTATTATGAAACAGGGAGAAATTTTAATGCAATTATTCAATACTCTCACCTTCATAACTAAAAACTCAGAAATTTCAAAAAATGCTTCTATAAACACGATCAGAACCAAAAAATTGTTTGAAAGGGATTAGAATTATCAAGTCCACAGCTATGCTGTCGATGCAATTTTTCGGTTTTTATTTCCAATCATTCAACAAATGTATTATAAAATTGGTGATCCACTAAACCACACAATCTATTGAAGAAAACCAAAATCATATCAGCATTTCAGAATTTTAAATAAAAAACCAAAAATAAATAAGCCGAAAAAATATGCGTACCAAAAATGATCATTTTTGATTTGCGGATAAAATCATACGCCGGTCCTTACACCGGTACTTTCAAAAAGATGAAAAAACCCATGAAACCCCTAAAATTAGTGAACGTAAAATCCCACCATGGTCTGAGTGAATAACTAATCAAAAACTAAAATTCCTTCAAATCATGAATCATTTCATTTCAGAAATTTCTCTCTGATCCGTTTTTCTGGCTTCCTGTTTCCATCATCATTCTGTTCGTTTTGCTCTGGACTTACTTTCGAAAAGAGGAGGAGGAGGAGATCAATTGGGGACCAAACGTCGGAACAAACGTGTACAACGGTGGAGGATACCCGCCTAACAACTATGCCAACTCGGGCGCTTACGCATATGGTGATCTTGATTTCAGAGATCGTATGTTTACAAGCGTTATGACTTCACATCCTTATGGTAGAGAACTCCAGTTGCCTGAAAATTTATAACAATTGGAATTGTTGCCACTTTGCCACAATTATTTTCTTCTGGTATTTTCGAAGCATTTTTTCATGAATTCTAGGCTATTAATTAAAAAAACTAATAAGATTCGAAGTTTGAAAATATTGAGTACGGTAAATAAACATTTCATATTTTCACTAATTGTAAGATTTTTTGTTAAGGTGTAGATAAAAGTTTGCCGTCTGAACAAAGAAAGCCAAAAACTCAAAAAACACAGGAACTTGACTGATCCACCAACCATTTTTTCATATCATTGTTCAACTGAAATCTGGTTTCGGGGTTAGTTTCGAATGTACGCTCAAACACATTCGTTTTTTGTGGTGTTGTCAATACAAACCCAGAAAAAAATGCTGAAAAATTAAAAATAATTGTAGTATTTTCTACTTTTGTCACTTTGCTCGTGTTGCTACCTTTCTTCCGAATCTTTATTTCATATACCAAAAAATCAGGTCATGGCCTAGAAAACCTAAAAACAAAGTAATGACCTAGAAATCACAAAAAAATTAGCTCTATCAAAAACAACTCATTTGGTTCCTCGAATGTCAAGGTGTTTTGACAACTTCCATAAAACACACATTTTTCTGTCTCCACGTGTCTTTTTTCAAGAAAGGCTACAAGTTTTCTTTTGATTTTTTCTGCTTTTCTTTAAACCTTCAGACCAAAATTTAATTTGTCCGGGAGCGGGGCCACGAACGGACAAGATAGTAAGAATTTTCAGAAAAAAAGGCGGCTTGATAAAAAAGGATGGAAAATTCAAATTTAACGAAAGGATGAGAATGTGCATACTATTCATTTAAAAAAAGCTCGAAAAGAAACTCAAACAACTCAAGAACAGAATTTAAAAATATAATTTTCACTCGGTGAGCTTCACGGAATCAGCTGCTGGTCGACGCTACACAAGACGCTCCAAACTGCTCCAGACAAAGTGCGACGAGCTCATCTTTCCCATATCGTGTCTCAGGCTTTTGTTGGTTTCTAAAATATAAAAATACAATTTATAATGAATTTGATTGGCCCACCCTCCGACTCACGGAGCGCCTCTTTTAGCTGGAATATTTAGTCTGACGAGTCACGGACTTTTTCTGACGAGTCACGGGTTTTTAGCGTATAGTACCGACTGATTTAGATGAATTTATACAAAAAAGTTGTCAACTACAGAATTGAAGCTCTAATTGCAGCTTTATTAGCATCTTTTTCTCTTGAAAATGCATGTTTAAAAAACGTGTCAATTGGAAACGTTAACGTATTTTGACTATGACGTCTATCGAACCTATGGACCATCTCTTTGAGCCACGAAATCCGCTCTGATCAAATAAATTTTGACTCCGGTTTAATTTTTGGTTGCTCAGGAAATAAATATCGAAATTTGTCTTGTCATTATGAGTCTCAATGTACAGTTCCGGCCAAAACTATAAAATTGGAGTTAACATGTATATTTTTTTTAGTTGAAAATTATTCAGTTTGGAGGTACAATCTGTTAGGAGCCACTGACAACTTTATGATCAACTGAAAGAATAAATACAGTTTCCATTTTGTAGTTTTCAATTTTTTCGTACATAGCAGAGATGTCTAGAATAACTTTTTTGAGAAACGGAATCCGGAATCCGGGATGAAAAAATTTTCTCGGAATCCGGACAGATGAAAAAATCTCACGGAATCTAGAACCCGGAACGAAAAAAAGCCCGGAATGCGGAATTCAAAATTTCGAGGTTCCGATGAGCAGAAAGATTCTATAAAACACATATCGCGCTCCATTTTTTCACTGTTAGTCGCTGGAGTTCAAAAACAATAATTGCAGCGAAAAATTCCTTAGTCGAACAAATGAGAATTTTTCGGAATCCGGAGTAGGGAATCCGGACAAAAATAGATTTCACTGAATCCGGAACAAGAAATGAAAAAAAAAACGGAATCCGGAATCCTGACGTTTCTGGTAAATAGGCATGCAAGTAAGATATACTGTTTGGAAACAACTAAATTCCAAAACTTCGAGAATAGCAATAACTTCGACTACAAAATTGAAGATCAATTCTTGTTTGATGCTCCCCAGAATGTTAAGTTTCATCCAGACAAATCTATTAGTTTTTCCGACATTTCCGCTAACATTGCAAAATTTCAAATATCACGCTCCGTTCAGATAGACCTACCTTTCGTTTTCCTGCGCACGAAGCAAACTGAAAAAAGAAATATTTTGAAATTAGCAACCTTAACATTATCAACTCACATCGTTTCCATAAACATTCTCCGTTGTTTCAATTTAGAAAACGATATCTGCACTATAGAAATCTGCATCATTCAATTGATACGAATTGAAAATTCTTTCATAATTTTTCATTTCCACCGGCAAAGCAGAAACTTCTTTATTGAAAAACGATCGTAGAACGGCCATTCTCTTTTTTCTGCACCAATGAGATATCTGAAAAAACTGAAAAAATAAAAACAAATTTTGGAACATGTCAAGCACTGTAATAGTAAAATAAATACTCACAAATTCCACATGGCACCCAGTTTTCCTTCTCAGTTCCTTTTTGTTTCTTCACAGGAACTGCTGTTCCTCAAAAAGCTTTCCTAAAACCTGCTCGACTCGGTAATCATCTCTTGGACTTCTACCATTTCGTTGTCTGGGCTTGCTGTTTATTCGGGATTAATTTGACGAACAGGGTTGATCTATATTGAAGCTCAATAGAATGATTTTTGAGCCATCCTGATTGGGCGCATACGTAGATATATATATTGATCTAAAAACACTAAAAGTTTTATTTAAGAACTTCAAAGTTCCTAATTCTAGGAACATCATGTTTTTTTTTCAAAAATTCCGAAGGCCCGAAAATTTATTTTCCACAGTTTTAGGCTGAAAATGATTTGAAGCAGACAAAAACTAGGAGTTTCGAGGTTTGAATAAAGTCGTTTTGACATTTTTTGATACTCTTTCTCATTTTTATTGCAATTATTTCTGGTATTTACTGTATCTGACGCATTCAAGTGGCGGTCGTGTTACGCAAAACACCTCGAAACATTACACAATCAGTAGCTGAGTTGAAAGAGCAAGATTCTCGTTACGTAATAGATTCTTTGCGTCATCATCCACTATTTAGAGACTGACTCGTATTGGGAAACAGCTATGACGTAACTGCCTCCTTGCATCACAATCCGTCAGATTCAGACCAAACTGTGAGATTACGCAAACTATGACGCAATTAACTAATGTAAGACGGAAAGGGGCAAAATCTACGCAATACCTTATTTGCGTCATCGTTCACTAGTAAAAGAGGCTTTCATCATTTCAGATAGGAAAGAGAACAAACGAGAATATTTTTTGATTCTACAGTAATCCAATTCTTTAAAATAATAATTGGATGCTTGAAATAAGAGCATAGCTTTGGAAAAACCAAAATAGTAGTCTCAAAGTTTCCAATTTTTTTTTCGATAGAGTTTTCGGCTATTACGAAAATTGTATTATTCGTTTCACTATTTTCTTGTTTGAAACCCTAGATATTTTTGCTAGATGCTGTTTGATATGGCAGCTAGCTGGTGTCCACATGCAAAGAAACATGAACAATACACTAGAAAAAAGAACTGAATAATTTGACACCTGTCATCTCAAAAATGCGATAAATTCAAAAGCAATTTGCGAGGTACATGTTTTTCCAATTCTCAATATATTTCTGCAGTCTGGCCAAAACTAGAAAAGTTATCAAAGATTTGTAAATGCAGTTCGATTCCACATGTGAAATAACCCCTGGAACCAAATTTTGGGTATCTCACCATTTTTTGTCCCCACGTACGGCCAAAAATACACTTTTTCAGGTGTCCAATAAGTTTAGGACACCCTGAAAGTTCCGAAATTTTGAAAACTTTTCTGTCGAAATTTCGGTTTTAAACGGAAAATAATTTTTGCTTTTAAGCTTTTTTCGTACGTTTTCGTAAGTATTTGAATGAATTTTCATATTTTGTCGAATTTCCAAATCATCGATTTTCCTCATTTTTCCTAATTTTTTGGGTATTTTTGTAAAAATGACCCAAGGTGCCAAAAATTCTAACATTTTGAAGGAAACAAGAATGGAACATACAGAACATGAACCAGAGAAGTTAATTTAAGTACTGGGAGCGTCGTCATTTCCTTTATTGGGCACAAACACTAAGACGATCCTGCCATCCATAAGATTTACGACCACTGGTAAACGCATGTTTTTCCACATGTAGATCTTGGACATAGTAAGTTGCGACAATGTTGAGACAGACTTGTCTGATCATTTTTACTTTGATTTTCGTGTTGGTTCTAGACCGGACAGACATATTTCGCTTAATTTACACTCCACTATTTTCTCATAGATGGAGCATCTTATGGATGGCAGGATCATCGTAGTGTCTGCACCCAATCAAGGCTCTGCATGAGCTCTCAGTACCTAAACTGACTTTGCAACATCTTATTCTGTATGTTTCATGTCTGTTTCCTTCAAACTGTTTGAGATTTCAAATTTTTGGTCATTTTTACTAAAATAAATACCCAAAAAATAAGGAAAAACGATGATTTGAAAAGTCGACAAAATACGAAATTTTTTCAAAAGCTTATGAGAACCTGCGAAAAACGCTTGAAACAAAAAGTTGTTTATTTTTTGTTTATTGGACGCATTGTATATGTTCTCACCTCTAGCAGTCATAAATGCTGGATCGGCTGGAGCTCCAACTGGTGGTGCCATATTTCGTGAGCGATGCGGGTGATCTGGACGATGGCCTAGATGATGATTGGCTGCAAAGTTCGGGACCCCATGTGGAATGTGAGCATGTGGATGAGCAGCATTTGGACGGTTTCTTTCGCCTGGAAAAACGTTTTTAAAGCATGTCTTTTATCTAGGGGTCCTCACCTCTTGCACCATATCCTAGAACGGCGATCAGAGCTGGATCGGCTGATGGTCCATTTGGTGGGCCCATATTTGGCAATCGTTCTGCAGCATATCCTAGAGCTGCCATCAGTTCTGCGTTGTAAGGAGCACCGCCAACATTTGGGATTCCCGGCGGTGTAGGAGCAAGTGGATAATCATTGTGACCTGGTGGCTGAGCTCCAGCAGTCGCTGAAAACGGAAGAGAGGTTAAAATTGCAAATCTTCCTTATATATAAATTGCTAGAGGCGTCTGTCTGTCCCGATGTCAGGCTGTCTACTTTTGAAAAGCTTGAAAAATAAATATAGATTTAATGATCTTTTAAGAAAAAGAGGTGCGGAGCGACGCACCAGTAGAAAACTTAGTTAAATCGCGACGAAGGCGCACCAATTATAAACTCACGAGGAAGTTTCGGTTGGTGAGCAGGTCCATGTCCCTAATTTCGCAGCACTGGTGGTACTGGAATCCCTGCCGGTCCAGCAAAATTTCCTGCTAAAAATATAATCATTCGATTTTTTTTTAATTCAGAACGTACCGAACATATTCCGTTGAGCAGCTGGTACTCCGTTTTCTTGGTGAGACAATCCAGCACGATTCGGAATTCCTTGAGCTCCAGCTAAAAAATTAAATTGATTTTAAACATAACGGTTCAAAGTCTTACCCATCGTGTTCTGATGAGCATTTGGAAACCCACGACCTTGGTTCGGCATTGCAAGACCCGCCTGGAAATTTTGAAGAGCTTCCTGTTGAGCAATGTTTGGAATTCCGTGTTGATCCATTCTTGACGAATCTGACGACTTCGAGAGAAGAAGACACTTAGGTTGCAATTGGAGTGACGAACACCTAAAATAAATGAGTTACTGGGTCATTGTTTGCGTAATCTCATACTCTGGTCTAAAACGGATTGTGACGCAAGGAGGCAGTTACGTCAGATATCTGTTTCCCAACACGAGTCAGTTTCTAAATAGTAGATGATGACGCAAAGAATCTATTACGTAACTTTCTCCTTTAACTCAGCTACTCATTGCATAATCGAGTCTATTGTTGCGTAGCGCGACCTATACATTTGAATGCGTTGAATACAGTAAATGACAGAAATGATTGAAATAAAAACGAGAAAGGGCTTAAACAGCTTTCTGACTGTTTTCAAGCCTCGAAACTCGTAGTTTTTGTCACATTCAAATCACTTTCAGCACTTTTTGATACATTTGACAAGAATCTAGGTAAATTGGATTATATTATAATTAAAGAGCTCCATTTTTGTATCTCGCAGTTTTTCTTTGTAAAATCTATTTTCTGAGCAGCTGAATTGAATGAATTCATAGAAAAGATTTGTGACAATTTGACGCCACCAGTTCTCCCAATGAATTCTACAGTAATCCAATTCTTTAAAATAATAATTTGATGCTTGAAATTTGAGGATAGCTTTGAAAATACCAAAGTTAGCGGAAAAACCTCAAAAATGGTAGTTTCAAAGTTTCCAATTTTTTCGATAAAGTTTTTGGGTATTACAAAAATTGCATTATTCGTTTCACTATTTTTTTTTTGTTTTCAAACCCCAGATATGTTTGCTAGAGGCTATTTGATATGGCACCTGCAAAAAATTTGTTGAGTATGTCATCTTCCGACTGGAATTGAATTCCTTTATAATTATCCAATGCTGTTCAAAATTTGTATATGTATTGTTCGAGAGTGATATTATCAGAAAATAACATAACACTCAGAGAAACATGAACAGCACAATAGGAAAAAAGACTGAATAATTTGACACCAGCCATCTCAAAACTGCGATAAATTCAAAAACATTTAGCGAGGTACGTGTTGTTTTCTAAGAAAAATTTATATCAGTTACATATATCTGTTGAATTGAAACTTTCAAACTAACCTTTACATTCAATTAAGTGAAGAGGAAAACTTCCAAATAGTAATAATTAGAAAAATCAAAGAAATTTTTAGACGTCCATTCAGTCTGGTCGTCAGAAGGAAAGAATGATGAAAAGAGAGGCTGACGGCTGAGGGTCGGTATCAGGCTCCGCCTACCGTTACGCAATCAACTATTTGAGAGAGAGAGGAGGTGGAACTAGGGATACGAAGAAAGAAAGAGAAAGAGACTTACGGTTGTCAATCCAGAGTACATACTGCAGAATCCAGTACACAAAATGAGAAATCCAGAGCCTAAAATCTGGAAATCCCGTAATCGGGAAACCGGAAATCCAAAAATCCAGAATTCTTAAATTCGGAAATTCTGAAATCTTGAAATTCCAAAATCCAGAAATCCAAAAATTCAATAATCTGATAAACCGGCAATCCGGAATCCGGAATCCGGAATGGAGATTCCATGTGTAACAGTTTTTGTGCAAAGAGGTCAGAAGCGTAAAGTTCTTTGAATTCAGAACTTCAAAAGGATTCCTCAGAGCTTCAAAATCTTCACAGTCTCTTTTTTTCAGAGTGGAATTGAAATTCTGTGGAACGGTAAAACCTGCGGTTTTTGGAATTTTTCAGTTTTCTCGCTTTTTTGGTCACGTTGATGGTTTCAAATCATTTGTACCTAGGTTTTGAAAGGAGACGTTTATTTTTCATGTTGACACTTTCTCACAAATATTGACCTAAATAGGTGTTTCAGTACAAACGATGGGTGTGATTTGCTTTTTGCGGAGCACTTTATTAAAATTCTATATTATAAAAATTCAAATTTATAACTAAAAGCTGATATGTTGGTAGTCCCTTTCAGACCTTCGGCCTCCAGAAGAATGGCTGGAAGACCGCCGATTTCGTTTAAGGCCTAATGCAGTCATTCGAAATGCCTCTTCAGCCAATACTCTGTCATCTATTCGGTTCTCCGGTTGTCGAGTTGAACCATTTCCGTAATCCCTCCGTTGACCCCGTGGTGGCTCCGTTTGGTATCCATAGTTGTTTCGACTATCGTTGAAACCTTGATCACGATAGGGACCTCTGTCTTGCAGATTCGAGTTGGAACCATTTTGAGAGTATCCATAGTTGCTCCGTCCCTGGCCACGTTCATTCCTTCCATAATCTTAAGATATAAAAAGTGTCAATTGAATAGTTTTGTTGGATTTGAAAAAGTGTCAATTGAATATTTTATTGACCGGTACTGTGAATAAAATTGGTCGGCGGCGCAAATTTCCTATTTCTCTTCCCCCAAAAAAATAGCCTTCAAAACTATCTTCACTGAGTTCCATAAAATTTCTAGTCCATATTTGTGAAGGTCTATTTTTTTGAAACAGATTTTACAACTTTAGAAATTGAAAAAAGTTAATGATAACCCACCTACTTATTAAAAGCAAGCACGCAATTAAGGAGAATTTTCTGAAAAAAAATTGAAAAAAATAGGACAACTAATTTGTTCATAGAATTCAGAAAACGTCTATACTGCCAGGCCCGCACAGTGTGCCCCATTTATAAAAGAAACTGATTTTTTCGCTGCGCTGCTTTCCTGTTTCTCACTTGATTTTTGAGACTTTCTCATTCCATCGTGAAATATTTTGAGACAACTCACGCTTTTCCGGAAAATAATTGTAAAAAGTAGACCTCATTCAGTAAGTGGTCATCGGGGAGTTGAGGGGTTAACTGAAACAGCTTTCAATTTTCGATTTTCCAATGAAAAATTTACAAAATATTGAGAAAAATCAGAAGAAGAACATTAAAAACACATAGTCATAGTTGAGGAATAGAATAGAATAGCATAAAATGGGGGTTTTGTTCTCTTTTCGGTCGATTCCCACTATATTGTCTGCGTCTCTCGAGAAGCCCATGTTTTCTCGCTTTTATGTTTTTTCGCGTATCAGTCGGTGCTCTTCTTTTTTGTGCCTCTCTTGATTTTCTGTACTCTCTCAATTTATCTTTTTTTTATCTCTTCCGAGTGTATTCTATTCCGCAGTATTTGCTGTTCGTTTTCATGATTTTGGTGACTATACGATCATTGAATCTTTTTTATGTAAATAAGATTGTTTGGGGGTGGTTAAGAGAACGACCGCGTAGAGAAAGCTGTGTGCTCTTCTTTTTTGTCACATTCTCAAGACATTCATAGTTGAATAAATATTAATTGAAAAAAAAAATGATATGGTTAACATTTTCAAAACATTATGCTGCAACTCTAAAATTCTCTGATTTGAATAGTGTTTACTTTGATGAACAAAAATTTGTTTCGTTGAAGTTCTGTTCATGTAAAGAGTTGTATCAAAAAATCGAAATTACTTATTGAAATTATTTGCTATTCAATGAGCTGAAGGCTCTGATGATTTAGCTGGCCATGGAGCAGCAAAGACTGTACTATGGATTTTAGAAGCTTTTTTTGGGATACCTGGAAAACAATAATTTTGAGTAGCTAAAGGAAAATCACTTGCAGCTCAATTATCACGCTTCTTATGAAAAATATGAAAATGACGTCAACTTACAAAATGTTGGTGATATTATGACAAACATTTTATCAGTTCACAGATTTTTGACATCTAATATACATAGGAACCAAAATAATTAAGCTTTAACTGCTCTAGGTCAACACCGATTGTGTCACCACCACACTTGCACACATTAAGCGAAATTATCTCGCTTCCTATAATAGATATCAAACATTGGTAAACTAACAAAATATTTTTCATAATATCACCTATATTTTATCAGTTAACAGTTTTTGTATTTCTCTCATAGCTACCGAGATAATTGGTCTTTAATAGCGCGCGGCCCATGGAAAATCAGTTGTTTCGAAAGTTATTAGTTTGATCGAATCGATGTTAGCACCAGAATATTGTGGAGGTTTCCGTGTCAGATAATCAATTAGTATCAGATGGTAACTTTTTCAGATATTCGATAGAAACGGAGATAATTGAGATCAAAGTTCACATATAGGTGGAGCTCCATTTCGAAATAAAATGAGGAAAGAAAGTTGGCAAAAATAGGAGAACTGGGTTTCTATAAAGTTTGAAAATATGATAAGGGATAAGGGAAAGTTCTGTGGATCGACAAAAATTAGGATCTGTATATCAGGGAGCTTTTCGGAAATGTGTTATTTTATAGATGATTATTCAGGCAAACGAAATTCTGGTTATCTTTTTTCCCGTTTCATCATCTGTGGTCCTGTTGGAGCTTGTGATCTTTGCTTCGAATCAATAAAAACATCATGAAGTTGGTCAAATTGTGGAACTGTTAAGAACTGATTGGAACCAATTTGAAGACGCTAAAAACCCACTATTTTTAGTAAATATCGATTTATGGGATGCTTACAAATTGAGGAGGTTGTGGCAATGAATTGGACCTTTCAGGAGCATTCCGTTTTCGAGATTTCTGAAAACATATCGTTTGTTGAAAGATCATATTTTCATATTTCAACACTAAAACTTGCCTTTTGTCCCCTTTTAGGAACTCCGCGTTTCTTATTCCGACCTGCGTCAGAGGTATCAGATCTGGGTAGCCTTTTTGGAGGTTGGGTCTGAAGAAACTTTAATTTTGGGATTCGTTTGATTTTTTTTTACTTTCTAATGTACATACTGACACAAAAATCAGTGTTCTATCGCTTTTAAAAGCCGAGATACAGCGAACTGAAGTTTGGAGAGATGCAGACGACGAGATCCTCTGCGTCTCTAACCTCTTCAACTAAAAATTGCTGTATCTCGGCTGTGAGAAGGCGCAGAAATATAATTTTTGGCTCAACATCTTTTTTTTTCGAGTGTTTCTTCAACTCTATGACATCAACTACAAATCGTTTTGAATCCAACTAACCTTTCCAAGAAGATGGGTCCAATGTGGCAGAATTTGCACAATTTCACCATAATCTTTTTCACAATTTTTACACTCCATTCTGTCATTTCGATTTACTTGACACTTTTTCAGGTGAGTTCTAAGAAGTCGAAAACCGGCAAAACTCTTATTGCAATTTTTAACGATACATTCTGGATTGGTCCAATCTTTTCTCCAATGGATGTATAAACGAATTTTCATCTGGAATTTTAGATGGTTTTAGAAAGATTCAGCTTACATCAAAGGATCTTCTGAATATTTTTCGGCATTTTTTGTTTTTACATAGGTTACGCTTTTCATCATTAGGACAATCTTCATGGCAATTTCTTCAGGTCCCACAAAATTGACAAAGAAACTGGAAAAAAAATTTCTCGTATTATTTGCTACATTTTACAAAAAAGATCGACGTTTCAGCTCTATTTTGAAGAAAATTACAGTTTAAAAAATCAAAAAGGACAGTTTTATGGTCAGCACCCATACTTGCTCTTTCATCTCAATTATCTTGGTTCCTATTGATGATATCGAACATTTGTTTACTGATAAAATGTTACTGATATCATGATAAACAATTTATCAATTGAAACCTTTCTGATTTCTTGCACATGAACTGATATAATCGAGATCAAAGTTGCCACAGCGTAGCTCAGTGGGTAGCGGCACATTACCCCTAACATCTTACCACTAAGTTCAACTCCCATGGAACCCTGTTTTCAATGAAATCCTTTGAAAAATCTCATATAAAAATGATTTACCTTTGCATCTGATTCCGTATCACTAGGGTAAGTTGACAGAAGTATGTTGTAAACGAGGATCTGATGATGTACCATGTCCATATGAATCTGTATACTGATCTTGCATTCGATAATTGTGCTGAGATGGAGTTGAGAAACCGTAGGATTCATGGTAGAAGTGCCTCGCCGGTGTCAAATTGGATTAAAGCCGTAGCTATTCTTAGAGAGCATTTGGACCCAAATCAAATTGAGGAGCGTCATGTTCGATTGAGTAACCATTTCCATTTCCATAGCCAGAACGACCGAGCATTTGTGGAAGAGGACGGAACACTTGCTGCTGGAAAGCAGCATCATGCATTCTAGAGTTTGCTGGCTGTTTGGCATCTTGAGCTTTTTGAGCCTTGCGCTTTTTGGATAAGATCTGGTTGGTGTTTTTTTTGACTTCCGGAGCTGGCCTTCGACGCTTGCGCAAACTTCACTTGTTAGGCTCATAAACAACAGCAGACTGTATCTTCTTGATCTTGAGGTCCACAAGACGTAGAGAATCTTGAACGCTTCGTCAAACTGAGAGGCCGTCCACGTTTTTTGCATTCTTTCCGATGGCTCTGCCTTTGGTTGGAGTTTCTGAAAGAAATAATGATTGTTTTGAAGAGAACGCCCCGCCCACTTCAATTTAATTTATCTCGGTATCTGTGAGAGATATCAAAAATCAGTCAACTGATAAAATTATTATCATAATATAACCTATATTTTTGTAGTTTTCAGATTTTTGATATCTCTCATGATAAGCGGGATAAATAGAAATGAATTCGACCCTTAAATTGCAACTACAATTAGGCTTATCTACACATGAGATTATAAAAATAGATAACTCTCCAAACTTTCACCAAGCTATCAAAATATGCTATTATCCAACCAAGTGCATCCATTGAACAACAAGCAAGAAATTATAAATCTGATACCGGTTAATTCTTGAAATCATTTGTCTTTCATCAAAATGTCTCTGTATTTATGCTAATTCTCCAGTGATATTTGCTAATTCTCCAGTATGTCCAATTCTCCAGTGATCGAGAAAATTCAGTATACAAATCGCTCAATGCTTCCAAAAATTTGAAAATCGTTGAAAGAAAAACGATTTTCGACACGTCAACCGACATACTTATGAAATGAAAGCCCGGTCCGGTAAATACGGTGTCTAATATTTTGGTTTTTTTTTCACAAGGGAAGTGCCAGAAGTGACCCCTCGCTTTTTAAAAAATAGGGTTAGCAACGGGGCTCCCGCTTTTACGCGGGAGCCCCGAAATCGGGGCGGGG